CCTGTTCCGATTGACTGAATTCAGTTGAACTGAACTGAACTTATTAATTAGTGATTTTTAACTACGAATTAGTGATCTTTGATTATTTATTGATTATTTATTACTATACATATGTGTATATACAAATGTACATATTATTAATAATAATAATATTATTATTATTATTAATTATTGATTATTATTATTATTATTATTATTATTATTATTTATTGATTATTGTTATTATTATTATTATTATTATTATTATTTATTGATGATTATTATTATTATTTATTGATTATTATTATTAGTATTATTATTTCAATTATTATTGTTGTTGTTGTTGTTATTATTATTATTTATTATTATTATTATTTATTGATTATTATTATTATTATTATTATTATTATTATTATTATTTATTACTTATTGATTATTATTATTATTGTTGTTGTTGTTGTTGTTGTTGTTGTTGTTGTTGTCGCTGTAATAAGAGCTTAAAAGAATGAAATTTGGCTTTATATCATTAGCAATATCATTACACGTAAATTAAGAGCTGAACTGAACTGAACCGAGCTGAGCTGAACTGAACTGAGCTGAACTAAACTGAACTGAACTAAACTGAACTGAACTGGACTGAATTTCAACGGAAGAGAACAGGCCCTTACTGTGAAATCGGGATGACTTTTACATTTAAGAAATACTTAAATCATTAATGATTGATTAAATTAATCAGTATTATAGGGGAAAATACCTTTATTTTCAAACTTCTAAATTTCTAATATAAATAATTTAAAATTCTCTCTTTTAATCCAAATATTCTCAAAAATGTAACCTGGACTAATTAATTCAAATTCACAAGCACCTCAATGCAAATTCGTCAACAATCTCTTTCAAGCCCAACATCATGTGTCATTTTTTTAAACTTCTCTATATATCCTTTCCTTTCTCATGCCTAAACTCCATGAGGGGATGTAGCAACGAGACAACTATAACTAAAGAAGAAAGGGAAGCACAACAGTTATAACATATTGAGGAGATATGAGGGAAAAAGTTGGCTTGGACTATAGCAAATAATGATGAAGGCTACATCAACCCCTTAAGAGACATAAAAAGAAGTACCAAACGAAAAAATAAAAAAGTTGAATCCAGGACTATTAACTATTAAGTTGCTGTTGTTGTAGTCAATTCATACATCAACCCCTTATGAGAGATTGTTATAGATACTCGAATGCACAGTACATCTATAAGTATTTTGTTCTCATGTTAATGATTGTTTTTCATTTAATCATCAAATGAAGAGTAAAAACTAACCTTGAGTTAGTTGGGTGCACGGTGCACCTGGATGTATATAACAAATTACACAATTTATCTTCTATTTATGTTATAAGCGTAATTTTTATTTATATTTTAATTTTTTTGTAAACATGATTGTCATATGTGCTACCCAAGATTCTTACTTATACATCCCAATGGTTATAGGTTAAAGTTGGTGAATATAAAGTCTATGCAACAACAAATTTGTGCTTAAATGTGTTATCTTACTTTTCTCTTAACACGGCCCGTGACAACTTCACACTTGTATTCGGCCCAATTTAGTTGTCCTACAGTCGAGGTCTTGTAGCCCAACTTGGAGTTCCATCTCACCAATGACTAATCTAGTGAAGGAGCAACCTTTATTTATTTTATTATTTTTTTTTTAATTTTTTGAGTAAATGGGTAAAGGAGCAACCCTTACTTGATATTCCTAATATATATGGAATAATTAGTTTAATAGGACGTTTTTGCAATGTAATACTTCTTCAGAGATTTGAGCCCTCTAGTCGAAGCAAATGCTTCATTTGGTTTGATGTAAAATATTTTCAATGAAAAATTAGTTTTCATGGAAAATATATTTCAAGGAAAAGCACAATTGCAAATTAGTTATACTTTGTTTGGTTGCATACAAGAAAAGTTTTAGAAAAATCAAAATAAGAATGGGAACGTGATGAGGATGGATGAGAGGGAAGTAAAAAAAAAAGAGGTAATTAAGGAGAAGAAAGGAAAATGTGGCTTCCCTAGGTTTGTAAGGGAAAATATTTTTCATCAAATCAAACGGGGCCTAAAGCTGATACTTTGTTTCCTACACAAGAGTGAAAGACAAGTTGAAAATATACAGAGTACTTAGTTTTATTCACCCGTTCCCTAATGCTCTGCGTTAATTTTTTACACAAGCTAAGTAAGGGTGTCCATTCTTTTGTATGTGCTTCATAAATATGCTTATTATGTTATTAAATATAGTTCTAGGCTGCACCCTTCACAAGATCAAATAAGGTTTTATCTCCCAAAATCACAGGAGAATGATGGGTCTCCTAGACAAGTTTAAAATCATATTATCATTTATTAATGTGGGACACTCACATGTGAACATGTGGTATTAGGACAAAGTGTGTTTTCACTTTGAACTTTCAAACCTCCAAACATGTTTGTCTAATAAAATGAACTTGGTTTTTACAATTTCCATACAATTTTAGCTTGATCAAACATCATGCACCAAAGTTCTTATTTCGAGTACATATAATTGAGCTTAATCAACTTCTAAATGCACATATAATCAATTTGTACACTTATTCTTCTCTTCGTGCAAACCACAAAATCAAATGAGACAAAGTATGGGAAAAGACACAAACAACATACCAACCTGCATGAAGACATTCAATAAAGCATCATAGAAAGCTCTAGAAAGTGATTTGGTCAATCAATATTTTAACAAATTATATATAAATAAGCTACTATATTACTTTAGTTATAAGTAGATTATAATTTTCATAATACAAAATATATTCTCTTAGATACTTTAATTTAATTTCTTCACTAATGTCACAAGCTATGTTTTTTAGGTGATCTGTTTATTCCAAAATAAGCTAAATTACGTGTCTAATATAATAATTAGCCAGCAATTTGCTTACCAAATTCAAATTCAATAAGCAAGCTAAGCTATGTTAACAAAATCTATTGGTCTACATAAAATCAATGGTCCTACTCTTTTGACACCTTTATTTGCGGCATTATGGTAAACAATTCAACCAACTAAAGGAATTTATGAATATAAACCATGAAAACATGGTTTTATTGGTCCAACTACTTAGATGTAACATTTATTTTTTAGGGTAAATATAGAAAGTTTATATTGGTAGCAATACAAATTAAATCATGTAATTCCTGCACAACAAAAAAGAGGCTATCTAATTGAATTAAATCATGATTTTCTTGTGCTCAATTCTAGTGTTTGACATGATTATAATGGAAATTGACTTGTCAATTGTCACTCAAGAGTGCCTAGGCTCATGATGATCTTACTATGTCGAGTCTTTTTTTCACTTAGTAGTGGATAGTACTGCGTGATGATAAAAAGATAATTTGTCGAATTTTGTGTGGTAGATATCTTATTCAATTATATATTTTAAGCTATACGAGTAAATATTGAACCATTTGAAAATGATAATCTTATTTAATTTCTCACATACTTGTAATAAGAAAGTGATGTATGTTTAGATAATAGAATACAGTGTTGAAGAACCGTGTGTTCCGTATCTTAAACAAGGATGTGAAAAATGTGGTGAATAACTTTAGATGAGGGTGTACATTCAAAGTATATGTATAGGCCGGTTTAATTAGAATTGGTGTGGCTAAGCTAAAGCCAAAGATTAGTACTTTTCATAGTGGTACATCAAAGTCACTTGTTTTTATTTGGGGGCTTGGTTAATCTTATCTTCATATAAATTAATGACACCTTTTTTTCATGATAGTTTTATTCAACTAGAGTGAGTAGAGTTACATAATGTGACAATGATCAATGATGGTATCAAAGTAAAAAACAATATGAATATGAATATGAATATTAATGTTTATTTTCTTTATGCCGATGATTAAAACCTATGTCGGCTAGGAATGGGTAAAAGAAAAAGTTTATATATGAGGATGAGCTTTGTACCTTTGTGAGTTGATTATTGATTCAATTCATACCACTTTATTTTATTTGCTTGTTTAAACTATATATATACTTTATCCAACTATGGATTATGGGTGTACAATATATTCATTAATAGATCAGAGAAATATTAAATTCATGTAAAATAGAAAATTACTGGATAGATTATCATGCCATTCTATAGTCAATTATGATTTGTGAGGATTGAAAATTCTAATTTTTAATGCTAACTAGCAAGTCGATATTATTCGATCATATATGAAATTAAATAAAAAAAATTTAATAGTAATTTATTAATTTCCGTGTAAATTAAACAAGCACTAATAAGTTTATCAATTTAGATCGAATTTAGGGCCTTCCTATCTAGATATGGTGTGGAAATGGTATATAACTACGTATAGAGCGCAGGGCATAATATTAGTTTTGGAGGCTAAAGGCACGTATTTAGAGCTACAAGCAAGTTGCACCGAAGTCCTTTAAGGCAGACTAATTTCCGATATTAACCGAGAAAAGCCTTAAGAAAGAACTTAGGGAGCTTTGTACACCCATCATCGAACATCTTACTACAAATTGGTGGTTTTTCTCCCGGTTCTCATATTTTCACATGAATTATCTGTATATATTTGTCTCTTAAATTACGTGCATGGTTTTCAATGATGTATCAAGTTTGGTGGGAAGTTGAGAGTTTTCATTTCTCTCAATATCCCTTTTCATACTAGAGATTGCATTTTAGATACCGTTTAGGTTAGTTGGTTAAACTATTGCTTATTATTGAGGGGTGATACCTAATATTGGGATCAAATCTGCCTTACATCATTATCGATCCTTTATGACTCTCTGTCTCACTCTTTAAGAATCAATATCTTTAATATTTTTAAATACATATACTTCGTAAAGAGTTCTTTTTCGCTAAATTATACTTTTAAAAAAAATCGAAATCTCTAAAAGACAAAGAAGCATACAAGTCAAACTAAATCATATGCTACTCCTTAAATAACTCACCCGTACTTGGACTTCACTATTTAGTATTTACACCTAATGCATGGGAATCGTAGGCCCCAAAATCTCCATGGTAGTTATACAACAAACATATATATATACTCTAAATTCTATACTCTTAAATCTTATGCCAAAATTCTTCTCTCTTATTCTATTTCTTCATTACCCTTTTAATTAAACCCTCTTTTAAAACCAAAATAAAACCTTCATCACTACAACAACTTCTACCTGCCCTCATAATTTGCCATTTTTGAAGATTTTTTTTCCCCTCTTTTCCTTAACAGAAAATACATGGCAAAAGCAGCAAAGAGAAATCAAAAGAGCAATTCTAAAGATAATACTAAAACAACAACTACTAATACTACTACGAATGATTTTGTTAAAATTTCGAGCACGAAAACTAAGCGAACAAGGAAAAGTTTGCCTAGAGAATCCCCTTTTCAACGTAGCTCTAATTATCGCGGTGTTACAAGGTAATCTTTATTATGATTGTATTATATATATGTACTATACTTCTATGCTATGTTAATTATACTCCCTCTGTCTCAAATTACTTGTGCGCCCCCCAAAGGGAAGTGGCCTGGCGCGCTTTTTTGTTGAAGCGAGCCAGACTTTTGATGGTGCATGCACGTAGCTAATTGATCATGGTATTATTTTGTTAGGCATAGGTGGACAGGAAGATATGAAGCACATTTATGGGATAAAGATTGCTGGAATGATACACAGAAGAAGAAAGGAAGACAAGGTTTATTTTCATTTTTATTTACTTTATTTTATTTTGAAGTTTTATTAATTAATATTAGCTGTTTTTGATCTGTTTTTTTTTGTGATACTTATCAATTTGTTTTGCCTTCTTTTCTGTAATTGTTGGAATGCTTCAAATTCGGGTTGGAACACTTTTGAATCCGCAGTATATCTTGGTATGTCTTTATATTTTATTGTAAATTTATTTTTAATTTCTTTTTGATAGAATGTCTAAGGTCAATTTTGGAAAGTGACATTTTTTCCATTATGAACAATTATCTAGAAATAAATATGCTAATTGTAGCAAAAAATTATAACGCGTATAAATTATGCGAAATATGAAGGAAAAAAAAGTGTCTTAATTATCTTTGTGAGGTGTACAAGGAACATATGGGCATGTAAAGTATTGATAGATATGAATCTAATCCTTAAAGTTTAACCATTCATATTCAAATGTCATTCATCTTTAATTGTATGGTATTTGAATTGTAAATTTATTTACCCATTATTTAAGGATACTCATACGGTTGGTTTTAGTATGAAACTGTAAGCGATTAAAATTATTCTTCTTTATTAGGTTGCCTAAACCTATTTTATTTATTTTTACTACCTCCGGTTCGTATTATATGCAAGTTTGGTGTAATATTTGTGAGACATAAAAAATTCTAAAGTTACACATAATACGAACTGAAGGTGAAAAAAGGGGTTGCTTTTGGGTTTAAAAAATGTGGACCACTTCTTATATAGTTTCCAAATTTCACAATTTGTGGGGATATGAGTGGGCTCCCAATAATACAAAAACATAATGTTCTACTTCAACTACTAATCTTGTTGTCAATCCTTGTACTAGACCAATGTAGCTTAAACAAGCTACGACATGATCACACTAGTTTAACTTTTAATGTGTAAGTTGATAACTTGATCATAATGAAGCAAAAAGATGGATGGCCCTATTTTCTATTATAATATTGATAAAAATTAATCCAAAGAAAACTTGATCGAAGTTAACCCACATCTCAAAAAAGATTAATTGTGAATTTGGACTGTTGCAATTCATATGCTTAGAAAGTGAGCTTGGTCAACATTAACAATGAAATTGTTTAAAAATTTTAACATCACAAAAGTGGTCCAACAAAATTAGTTTGACATTAAATATCTATTTTTTACATGTACGTAATAATCATAATATTATTATTTGATACTCAATACATGAGATTACGTTTCATCTGATCTACATCCATGTACTATGCTTTAATCTCTTCAATCATCAAGAAAATAGTCTTTAGAGTTATATCATCAATATTAGGTTTAATTTAACTTTGGGGAGAAAATTAAAGTCAATTAGAATTGTTAGTGTTGAATAATACTCTTCATTATGATTAGACTCTTTAAGTTTCACTTATTTTAATCATTTGCTCTAATAGGTACTAATTTACTAAAACTTATCTTGGCATTTAAAAATTTACAAATTAAATCTAAAGCAAAGTAAACACAACTATACATACATTGACATATATCAAACTAGCTAGAAGTAAACTATGAAAGTACCCATAAAACAAAAAAATCACTAAATGTGATAACAATGTGACAAATTAAATGAGAAGTGATAACATCCAAGTGTTTTGATTAGAAATTAATGTGTGTACACACGTAACTACTAGTAAATGTCACTCTTAATCAAATGGGTTCATTGCACTCCTTACTCTACATGTAGCTCCACCCATTATTCTCAGAAAAAAAAAAAAAAAAAAAATGTATTGAACCCTTACTCGACTCAAAAAATAAAAAAAAATAATAATAATAATAAAAAGCTTAATGGGATATTTTTAGAATTGATACATAGAAGATGTGCGTAAGGAAAGGATTATATCCTTACATTCCGGTTATATGACTTATGATGTTCTCTTTCCCTAACCATTCCTATCCACTTTTTGGGAGAAACCTTACATGTTAGTCTACACTCTACACTACTCAACATATCACTTACAAAGTCCGTGGTGTCCTATTTGTGTTCGTAAACCTATAATTAACCGACTTAAAATTAATATTTGGTTCGTGGAGGCGGATGCACGATCCACATGGTGCATCCACTCCAAAATACAAAAAGGCGGAATGAACATTCAGATATATACTAATGAACATGGTCATATAAAAGAACATAGTAGTTATTTATAATGTACATGGACATATACATAAAAGAACATAGTGTTCATTTATAATGTACATCAGTTTTTATGCAACACTTTTGTATATATGTATTTTTTTTAAAAAGAAATTTTGTATAATGAAATAGATAAATAGTACTATAATTTTTTTTTTTTACTATACATTAATTACAAATCATTTCAAATTTTTTTTACCAAAAGTTCACTTTCTCTCCAAACAAAACTTCAAACCCATTTAAATTCCTCAAACCTCAAACAAAATTTCAAGAAATTCAAAATTTTGAGCCCAAAATTGTTCAAGATGACAAATAAAAACGAAAGGTAAGACCAAATTCGACATTTATACTTGTTTATTTGACATTCATACTTGTTTATTTTGAGTTTGAGTGTTTGTTTTTTATAAATTTGATTGAAAATTGTAATATTTGATTTGATTGAAAATTAATTGCGATTTTGATATAATTTTGTTGTTTCAATGAGAAATAAAATGAAATTCTTGAAGAAGATCAACGGATTAATATATTTTGGAAGAAGAAAGCAAGCAAATAGACAAATTTAGAAAAAGTTGTAGATCCAAATAATACAATGTACATTAAAATACAGTAAAATGTTCTTTTTTCATATACTTATATGATGCAAATAATACAATGTTCATAAAACATGTAACCAATATTATAACATATATGTTCATTAGAATATAATACAATGTACATTATAATACAGTAAAATGTACATTTTCATATACATACATGATCATTTATACCAAATGTACATTTACTATATGAATAATGTTCTTTAATATTATCATGTTCTTTACTAATATTACAAATGTTCTTTAGATTTACAAAAAAACATATAAAACTGGATGTTCTTTAATTTATAAAAATAGCTATATGTTCTTTACAAAACAACTATATGTTCTTTACTGAATAGCTAAATGTTCATTCCGCCTTTTTTTAAAGAACACCGAATGCACCAAGCATGGTGCATCCGCCTCCAAAAAAAAAATTACATCTTAAAATAAATATTAAATTCTCATCTTTTTGGAAAATAAAAAAGTGTCTTTTTTAGATTACTATTAATACATCCTTCGTCTTAAATTATTATGATCAATAATCAGAGCGCCTATATATATTATCTACTCGATTTTAATTATATATTATATTCTTATTAACACTACTGGTCAATTTGGTTGATTAGGTGCTTATGATGATGAATCAACAGCTGCGCGAGCTTACGACTTGGCAGCACTAAAATATTGGGGCAAAGATACCATTTTAAATTTTTCAGTAAGACATAAATTCTACTCTTTTATTTTAAAAAATACCTATAATCATAGATTTGATTATTCACTTACTTTTTATATTTAAATGTAGCTATCAACTTATGAGAATGAAATGAAGGAGATGGATGGTTTGTCAAGAGAAGAATATTTAGGATCACTAAGAAGGTATGAAATAATGTTATTTTTTTTATGTTTATTTGTTTTGAATTTTTATTTGTACTACTCCGTAATATGGTATGGACTATGGAGGAACGTTTTATAAACGGTTATAATATAATTGGAAATGTTTGTTTACATTTCAGGAAAAGTAACGGTTTTTCAAGAGGGGTGTCAAAATATAGAGGAGTTGCAAGGTAATTAACACAAGCTCGCTTTCTATTACGTACCTTGAGTAGTTGAGTCCTTAACTAATGACATGTTTGGCAATTAGCTTTTAGAGTCTATTCTGATCATAGCTCGACTTGATCAGAATGTCCGGCCTATTTCTAAGGGTGTGTCTAGCTAGGCCAAAATAATTCTACATTTCTACCGAGTTTTCAACTTAATTTGAACCTTATTCTCTAATAGGTTAAACACCTAACTAGTCAAAACGGACTAATAATCTATAGCTTCGCCTAACCTAATTTATGATCAACTCTACCGACGAAAAGAGGCTAATTACATTGGATATTAACTTTTTGGGGGTGTTTGTTCAGACATCACCACAATGGAAGATGGGAAGCTCGGATTGGCAGGGTGCTAGGCAATAAATATCTTTATCTCGGGACATATGGTACCTTCCTCTTGTACATTATGTTCATCTTTTTGCTATTTCACAATTAATTTTATATACTTTTTTTCTTTTTTTCTCCATACTATTTTTATAGCCTAAAAAAGAAGTTAGGCCATGTTTTCTCATTTATAGCTCAATCACTTTCTGTCAAATAGTTTCCACGTACATTTAATGAATATAAGTGAAACCCCGTTGTATTAAATTTTTTTTTTCCCTCCATAATTAATACGTATGGGCTATTCTATCTAATCGACTAATTTGTAGTTTATAATCAATAATCATTAATCAAGTATCTAAGTATCTTAGTTGGTTAAAGAAATTATATATTGTATACTCTAATTATAATGTATAAGACCGTCCAATAACCGGATCATGGAAGATCTATTCCATCCTACTTAGATTCAATAATAATGAATAATATAGCAAATCTTGCCAATAATGTCATTGTCACTTAGTTAGAGAAGTTCAACAACTTCAACGGTTACATAATATATGATGATACTTTATCAAATTTATTTATTTATAATAACATCAAATCTTTCCAACTCTCAACTAAATTACACACCTATTTATTTAATTTAATTTAATTTGTTGTACTTATAACTATTCATTTTTGTTGTCATAAAACAGCTACACAAGAAGAGGCAGCAACAGCCTATGATATTGCAGCAATTCAATATAGGGGACTCAATGCTGTCACAAACTTTGACCTTAGCCGTTACATTAATTTGGACAAACCAATAAGCCCTAATAATAATAATGAAGTTAAACCAAGCAATTCCAAGCTAGTGGAGGATAGTAGTGGTTCTACTTGTAGTAGCAATCAAAGCTTGTTATTAGAATGCACATCATCAATTGAGCAAATTACCCATGATCAAGTAGATGATGCTATTAGCATCGACGAACTATTATGGAGCAGTCACCAACAACCAACAATTGATTGTTCGTCTATGTTGCTAGGTTTCAATAACGAATATGATGACTTGTTGCTATATAGTGTGACAAATGATAATCTATATTCGTGTGTGGATGGTCATCAAGGTGGTGGTTCTATCGATGATGTAGGAAACAATGAAAAAGATTTCTTCAGTGATCTTAGCTCGCTTTTATGTGATTTTGATATTATGGAGGCCGAACAAATTGAGATGTGAATGCATTTCTAGCACACAATGTTACGATTGAAGGTGATTGATACATGGATGGGGTTTTAAGATTTCAACATTTATACTATACACTATTCAATTTCTAAATAGCATAGGTAGTCACATTATTTATTATGTTTGGTACATATTGAACAATACTATATGTGTGTTTTTTTTTTTTTTTTGAAAAAGGTTGGTTATTATTGATTGCATTTTTCCCCATATAAGGCAAATTGAAAGGGGACAATTTTTTTAATGAGGAAATGAGCTGAGTAATTCTTTTTATTATTATTATTAAATTGATTGTCAATTATCTCTTATACACAAACTCTTAATAACATCCGGTTTACACTAAATTAGTGTAAATCGGGCTGGCTGGGCAACTTCATCATCGAGAAAAACACCCACCACCGTCGCCACTCCCTTAGCTTCTCCCAAGAATTTGGCGTCCTCCTCCGATTTCGACCTCGCTGACCACCCCAATCCCCCGATTCTAGCGCCGCTGACCTCCCCCCATCCCCCGATTTGTCGAGTTTGAAGTCCGGGATTACAACAACTCCGAATACCTCGACCCCAATTGCATATATACCTTATTGTGGGTATCTATCATTTCACCTCATCTACTTTGATGGTGGCAAACATGACGGCGGCGAATACTCTGTTTTGGGTTAACTTTTGCATTTTGTGTTTATTTTTATTATTTTGATACTCTGTTTTTGTGAAGAAAAAAAAAGGTTTACTTTTGTGAAAAAAGGGTCATTTTTGTGAAAAAAATGGTCACTTTTGTAAAAAAAAAAAAGGGGGTTACTTTTGTGAAAATATGAATCACTTTTGTAATGAAAAGGGTCACTTTTATAAAGAAAAAGGGTCATTTTTCGTAAAAATGTTTGATATACAATAAAATTATTGTAAACCGGGGGCATACAAAAGCAATGCTCTCTTATATTATCAGCCCGTCTTATTTATTTCTTTTTAATTAGCAGATGAGTTGTTTATTGTTCATTGTTTAAGGCAATAGGTTCATTAGGTGTTTCTTGTGTTGTAATATTCTAGAGACCTTTAGTGCTCTCTTGTTAAAACTTGGTAGGAATAATGTGGAGAACTTTAAAAGCGTTATACATGCATAGGATGGCCTTGTAAAGTGCAACTCTCTAAGCCAAAGAAGTTTCTAGAATTAGGCCAAGAGGCATATAAGAATGCATGCAATGGAGGCTCATTTGGAAATAATTCTATAGTTCCACTAAAACCATAAAAGTTGTTTGATAACAATTCTACTCTCTTTGTTGCCTTCGTTATTTGTTACCTTGTTACATAGTCATTTTCGAAGCTATATATCTTACCATTTAATTAGTTATCTTCCGATGGAGGCAGAGTGAGGATGAAGTGAAAAAAATTTAGCATGACATAAAGTCGGATTTTTTTATATATCTTACCATTTAATTAGTCCAACAAATTACTATAATCATGCAGATAAAAAGAAAAATACATGTTCAATTAGTCTAACTAAAGAAGTTCAATTATTCTAGCTAAAGAACTAATACGTATCTTAAATCATTTATTTGACAAGTAAATTAAATATTAACAAAAAAAACAATAAAGATGCAAATTTGTGTTTCGATTTTCCACCTAATTAATTTCCACGGAGACACCTGAGAAGTGATGTGACTGCCGTAATTAGTGTGCCATGTATTATTAGAGATTGCACGGGATCGGGGACAAATAGGAAATCATGAGAACACTATTAGTTGGAACGGAACAACCAGCAAAATTTGGGGACATTTCAGGGGAAATGTTTATTCGTTTTTTTTGAGAAAATTTAAAAATTAAAGTAATAAAAATGTAATAGAATATCGATGGGTTTCTCACTTTTCCTTTCCCACAACGAACCCTAAGGTTTCTCTCTCATTCGTGTTCGACTTTGTATCTTCTTTTATTTGACTTTTTTTTTTAGTTTTAAGTTTCTTCTTTTCAAATCTTTCATAATTTATTTTAATATTTTTTTAATATAAAATATAATTATATTTATATATTTTACATTTAATTTATTGTAAGTAAAAAATAAGATTTTCGAAAGTGTTAATGGGTAAACATCTATATAGTGTTCAGTGAGCGAAAGTGGCACTCTCTCTGTATGAAATATGTTACTAAATTAATTAATTAATATTTTAAAAAGTTATTCTCTTTCGTACGCCATATATATATATATATATATATATATATATATATATATATATGAGAAGGATTTTATGTGCAAAATTTTTATATTAAATGCGCATATTTTTTTAATTGAATGTGCATATATTTTTCGACTTAAATTTGATGTGCATAAATTTTAAACAAAATGTGCATGATTTTACTTCTACATATGCATATTGTTTGCTTCTCTTATTCATTCACCTGATTTGGGTAGAGAGGGCACGACAATGCTAATTCCAGGTTATCTTTTGGATTTAATTTAATTGCTTAGTTTTATTATTCATTCACCTAGAAACACCATGCTTCCCATTTTCCCTCATCCTCTATTTCCATTAAATAATTGTGGAACAACATTCAACGGTGTTGCGGGGAGCTAAAAATGAAAATCTATGATCTAAAATAGTGCAGATGATCAGATTGCTTCTACTGGATGAAAGAATTGAAGGCAAGGAGATAAATACTCATGAAATTGGAGGGAGGAAGAGAGAGAAAAGACGAATTGTAAAAATTTCGGTACGATCGTCGGTCTTATCAGATGGATGAGTAGCGTTAATAAGTGGGAAGTAAGCTTGATATTTGATCAGTAAAGAGATGGTGAGAGAGATGGAGAAGAGTAAAGTAGAGTGTTTTTTTTTTGTTTCTAATATCAACCGTTAGATTACTCATATGAATGGTTGAGATTCCTTCTCATTTAAGTATCTTCTCATTTGACCCTAAATCACAAATTAGATCAGCTGATTGGATTTTTTTTTTAAGAGCCCTAATCCTTACCATCACAATTTGTGATGATTGATGATGATCATCATCGTAGTTTTTACCGGGCTTATATCCTACATGAGCCAGTATCCCAATACCCACTTGGTCTGGCACTACTATAGCCAGTAGCCCAAGTACCGTTAGAGATATATCCTATAGCCTAATATGACAATTCACAGTGAATATATCCTATATCCCATTATGATAGAGAAAAGGCATGATGAATATTTTGAGTAGACAATTGATGAGAATTTTTTGAAAGGGACTGAGCTCCAATTTAATATGGGCCCTTTGTGTTTTCTAGCCTTGTGCAGTTGGTTTTTATGCAAATGACCGGGCTTGATAGAGAAATGATTCACTAAACTATAATAGTATTAGTAGTGTACTAGTGTATAATGTTCTTGGTTTATATGGCAGGCCTCGCGGCCTCTTGAATCAGTATAATACGTTGTGACCGTTTTTTTTTTTTTTTTTTTTTTTTTTTTGCAAAACTGTCATTTTTTGGTATCTATTTATGGTTTTATTGTAGTTAGAGTGAGTGTGTGACAAAGTGATTTGCTTTGGCTTTAGAATTTCAGATATTCCGTGTCAGACATATGAAGGTAAGGTAGAGAAATACAAATGTTTGTCTTCAAATTATAAGTTTTATAAAAACTAATTTTGTCAGATAAACAGAAAATTTGTAAGATACGCAGAAATTACAAAGTAAAATGATCCAACTTTTACATATTTCACTTATTTGCTCTGTATATTAGACTTGGATCTTTATTCTTGACTATCAAAGTTGCAACTCCTGATTGTCTACATGTTGATTTCATCTTTTTGACAAACATTGCTTTCTAGAAATACTTGCAGTGAAAGTTTAATCATAAGAAGAGCAACATCAGACATGAATTAAAGTTGAATCATCTAGATACTCCTCCTGCACCTCATCTCACTTTGATTCAGTAGGCAAAATTGTGGCAGCATCAACCCATTCACCAGTTACGACATTGAAGAAAATCTTGGCCTCACGCACGAAAAACCAATCCCGATTTTGAAAACATGTAATCGGTGGTCGGAATGTGATCAAACCTGTCAAACGTGCTTCCAAGTCATCAGTCACCATGTTTTTGAAGCCTCCCATTCACATAGTAAACATCTATATATATTAGATTGTCGTTTCTGATATTTTGGCAGCCCAGGGAAAAATGATAATATTTTTGTTGAATAAATCATTTGGTTTATGTAATTTGTTAATTAATAAATAATTTTATGTAATTTGTTGGTTCACAAATCTAATATATATATATACTACCTCCGGTTCATTTTAGTTGCAACAATTTCCTTTTTGGGGTGGTTCATTTTACTTGCAACAATTTTTTTTCCTTTTTTGGTAAGTTTTTGGGTGTAAAATTACATATTTGCCCTTACTTTTTTACTAAGCTATTTTATTAACACTCCTAATTTGTTTTACTTAGTTTGATGATTTTATTAATTAATCTAACTACTCCCACCAAATTTACCTCCTTCCCCTTTAAATTCCTTCATCTCCCAACCACCTTCATTGAATCTGCATTCAATACTGGAAAATGGTTGGGAGAATGAAATTCTGGAAAAAAATTCCAGAAATCAAACCCCCCCTCTTAAACCCTAACCGTTTAAATTTCTCTCTCTCGTCCTTTCTTATTTCTCTCTCCTCTTCGCCTCCTCTTTCTCCTCCAAAACCCTACATCTTTCACCTTTCTCTCTCTTCCTCTTCTGTATTCCCACACCGATTCACCCCATTTCACTCTTCAAATGTCTTCTTCTCAACCAAAAATAATTGATCTTGAAAGTCATGAGTCCCTTTCTTCTGGATCCACTCGATCTCCAAAAAAACCAGAGCGAACCACGTACATACCTCTTCGTGGTTCTAGGGTGATGAAGCCGCTCCGTCGTGCTTCTGTAATTGCAAGGAGGAAGATTCATGGTGAGAAGCTTGCTGAATACATTTCAAGCGACGAGGATGAGAAGCCCATTAAGGTTTCTGGGTCCAAAAGGCCAGTTCCGCCACCTCACAGCCTAGATCTAAAGGTTGTGTCCACCAAAGAAGGTGGATCTGCTGCTTTGGTGGCTGTTCCAACTGCTTCACCACCACCAGACGCCAAATCTGAAATGGGGTCTTCTTTGTTCCAGGAGCTAACTGCCGGAGAAGTTCTCTAGCCACCCTCTTACCATCCCATGATGGGTGGGAGTGCTTCTGGGTCTGGCGCTGGTAGTAAGCGCTTGAGGGGCTTACCTCCAAGGGGGCAGGAGCCAGATGATGTACTGGAGGCTTACCTCCAGATCTACTACCCCCAGTAGTCCCTTCCCAATTGGGCAGCGTAATTTCTAAAACCCTAATCTTCTTCTTCAGTTCCAATTTATGCTTGATTATGCTATTCATGAGTCCCATGTTGGTTGTTATGCCTAGTCTGATATTGTTGGTTGGTTGGGTTTGATTTGATGTGTTTCCTTTTATTATTGCATATGTTGTTGGTGTATGAGTTGTTGGTTGTTTGGGTTTGAATTGTTGTTTTATAAAAGAATTCTTGACTCTCCTGATATGTTTGGATATGTTGTTGGGGTATGAGTTGTTGGTTGTTTGGATATGAATTGTTGATTTGGATATAAATTGATGAGTCCTCTGTTTTTCTTGGATTTGAGATGTTGGTTGTGTGCTTTAGTAACTGTGGTTGGATTATGAAATGGGTTGTTGGTGGAGTTGTGGAGTTGTGATTGTGTGT